GTGAAAAATACGCAAGAGAATCTCGCAACCCTCACCATTTGATCACGCAACGTGACAGCATCCACGCGAGAGCCCCCGACATGTGCGTGGATCCGAGCGGAAATATGACGTCAGGATGGCGCAATTTGTTCTAAAAATAGAAAAATTGTCCCATATCATGGGTGCGCGCGGATCCCAAGACTTACGGTCTCCGTCCCCGATTATGGCTCCTGGTCTGTCCTGTTATTGATCATGAATTTGTTCATAACATTGTCAAAGTAGCTGTGGATCCGCAGACTACTATGACAATGTTATGACGAAATTCATTGTCAATAACAGGACAGAAGCATTAAAAACTGACGTCAATTTGTTTTTTACGATAACAACTTGTCAAATTGTCCGCCCTCGCTCGCTGACGCATCGCATAAATTATAAATTCATGTGTCTGTCCGCTTATTGACAATAAAAATTAGCCAATGAGCGCGCGAGAATTTCTGCAGTTATCGTAAAAAACACCTTTTTATCCAGTTTCCGCTCTATTATCTGTTAAGTGGTCGTTTACGGGAGGTTAAAAACAAAAGAAAAATTCAAACTTTTAGCTCTAAAAGTGGTCGCGGTCGCTTACAAGAGCTGGTCGCCTACAAGAGGTTCCAAATATAGTGATTTGACTTAGAAACTTTTGGTATTTTGGAAAACTGGTCGCTGAGTAGAGGTGGTCGCTTACGAGAGTTGGTCGCAACCGGAGGTTCGACTGTAATTGATCCAATGGTTCTTACTGATCTCCATTATATAGAAAGAAACCTTTTTGATTCTTCAAGAACCTTGTAAAAAAAATTAAACGTCATTGTCGACGCAGATGCAAGGATGATTAAATTGCATCTGAATTTTGCTTTTCCCGCTCTATGAACATTTGTTCTCCTACTCAGACTCACACGCTTGACCAAATCAATATTTCAAACATATTACATCAAGTTAAAGAACGCGATATACAAATCTTTCTAGCGAGTAAAGTATTATTTTCACAATAACTGCAGAAATTCCTGCGCGCTCATTGGCTGATTTTCATTGTCCGTGAGCGGATAGACACATGAATTTATAATTTATGCGATGTTAACGCGAAGAGCAAGAGCGGACAATAGACCAATTTCGAAATATTAAAATTCAGCCTTAAACAATAGACCTCAGTACGAGGCTATTGGGGAATAACTATACGAGAGCCTCGTGCTGAGGTCTATTGTGTTAGGCTGAATTTTAGTATATCAAAATTGGTCTATTTAGCAGTTTGTTATAATAGAAACAAATTGATGTCAGTTTTTCATGCGTTTGTCCTGTTAATGAATTTCGTCGATACGTTGTCAAAGTAGTTAACTGTGGATCCACGAGGTAACATAAATTGATAGCATTTGATTCGCTAAAACCAGTTCAGAATAAAGCTTGATTGTCTGCAGGACCCTCAGGAGAGGCTTTGAGTCAGCTAAGTTGGCAAAGTCAGGCACCATCAAAGAGAAGCGAGTCGGGAAATTTAGGTTGCCATCTGATAAAAAATGGTCAGGAAAGAAGAGGCGAAACGCAAATTTCTAATCATCAAGTCATTGTACCGGTGACAGGATAATACCCACCTTTTCAAGAAACTATTCCGGTTTGGCTTTATTTCCAACGAGCTCTTATGTATGCGTCTAAGAATATACCTTGGGTAAGATTTCATGATGTGATCAACAAGTAATACTTGGTCTATCAGAGCTCGCAGACTTGCTGTCCTTTGGATGGCTTCGATGTCACCAACCGCCAGACCAACCTGTGATCAATTACAGCAATTATGAAATGCCACACATTATGATGACACGATTATAGTTATTTCCAACTAATTCGTCTTTTTCGAGTGAAAGGATTGCAAAGGAAATCCGATTTGCAGTTTTAGAACAACTTTAGAAAAACATATGAGAGCATTAGTACCAAAATTGTCCAGAGGTTGCAGAGATTTTCCCTTTTTGTGACTTAATTTTGATTAACAAAAACTGCAGAAAACCACTGTGATTCCATAAAGGGCGGTTACTAAAATTTGTCTGCTTGGAGCATGCATTTCAGTCACTGTACGTGGTTTATACAAGCTGGCGAGCGTTCTGCTATGACTAATTGATATATAATAAAGCCTTTGAAACGTCACTTCCTCAAATGTGCTCGGGCGGTTTAGTTGTCATTACGATTGCTTACCCACCGATTTGCCTTTCAATGTAGCCCAAAAACTTTCTTGAGAGCTAAATCGCTTTGATCATTTTAGTTTCTAAACCGATTAGCATATGGGAGGTGCCATTAACAGGCGCGGATCCATACCGGTTTGCACCGTTTTGTACAGAGATCAATCAGATTTTTCAGAATGACGCAGAGATCCCGGGAGTTAAAATTCAAAACATTTCCTAGGGGGACATCCCACGGGGCTTGCGCCTTCGGTGCTCGTTGTCTCGGAATTGATCGCCATTTATTCTAGGTCAGTTGGATTCCCACTATGAAGAATGCACTTACCAGCAAGTTGACCAGCACAACAGACACCGTCAATACGAACAGGAGGAACAGAATGAACGTCACTGTTGGCAACGGAACATACGGGATCCCAGTTCCTGGTACTGTGTGGTTATTCACAATGTTTTCAACCAATATGTCTGTGTAATCTAATTCACCGACCATCATCACAGACGTCTTCGCTAGAGCGAACCAGAAGTCCAAGAAATTACCCTAAAAGGAGAAAGTTATATTTATCATCACAAATATAACTTGATAAATAAATAAATAAATAAATAAATAAATAGCTTACAATATTTGGAGAGGACGCCACAGCAGCCTTAGCTAGTTTTCATGTGTGTCCTCTATCCTTGTCCAATTGGAATTTGGAGATGCTGGTTTGTTGTTGTTGTTGGTCTGTTATCAATACATTTTCAGAATATGCTATACCCTCTTGTTAACAAAATCTATTCTCCCGTGCCCCATTTTAAGTCATTTCGTCCCAAAACGTTGTTCTGAGAATTGAACTGGTATTCTGAAGTGCATGCCAACTTCACTACATCTATATGCCTGATTACGATGAGATATTTTCGCCCACTTACCTGTTGCTTAAGCAGGATATAAAACACCACAGAATAGCCAATCAAGGTGATAAGAAAGGTAGAAATCACTTTGAGAAATGTGAACAGTACTTCTACGTACATTGTCACATACACGCCAAGTCCACCAAAGCGACGAAGAGATAAGGTTAAATTGATGTAACACAGAAGCAAGCCTACAACTCCAGCGATCCATTGCGTTTTCATGCTGTACAAATCTGTTTCACTCATAAGAGGAAGGATGAAAACCCACACCAATCCAAACATAGCCAGATCCAGCAGGTTTGTGAGATCCTTAAAGTACGACAGCCGCAGCCACGCTACTTGAGCTCCTTCCTTGATGAGTTGCATAAGCAAGAATATCGCTAATACGTAAGGAACTGTCATAGTAAAGGTTGATGAACTTTTCTCCTCAGCACTTGTGATGTTTTCCAAAGAATTGAATGAGAAATCAACCGTCTCCCTTTCCATGACCACGAGACTGGTGAAAAAAACGACAAAAACTGCAAATACTAAGGTATTGAAGATGTTGACGAACTTCCCCAAAATCATCCATTTCCATCGCAGCAATGCTTGAGTAACTTGGTGATTCAGCAGCTTTTCCCGCCGATACGTCGCCATACACGCGGGGCCAAAGCACCTATCGAACTCGGCATTCACGTCTGGATCCAATGGAATTAAGTTAAATGTGACAGAAAAGTCTTCGTGTGACGGGGGGAGAGGACTGTAGCTAATGCACTGATCAAGAACAATTTCTGCGACATCCGGAAGTTTTTCTATCAATTTCTGCATTGGCCAAACCCCATCGCTAAGTGAGCACTTCAGTACTTCTTCCCATCTAAGAGAATAACATTACTATAGTCACATGTAGCATGGTGACATTCAACCAGCAAAGACATTGTGCCATTGAACTAGGTCTTAATGGAATTGTGCCGGGCCGAAGAGCGAGGAGGGAGGGAGATGAACGGGCTGAATTTAGGCCAAGGGAAACAATAGATACTTCATCAGTAAATGGCTGAAAAAATGGGTAAATCCAAGGGAAATGGGTTTCAGTTTAAAATAACTGAATTCCAACGAGGTTTAGCTGTGTCCAGTCATTCTCGCATGTGCATTTCCTCATCTCGTTTTCGTATTTTTCCTTATCGTTTACTCGGATACGAGAGGTGGACAGTAAAACTTTCTTCATCTCTTAGTTAATAGCTGTTTAAGCCCATGAAGTCCCTTCAGTTAATATTTCATATCTGGCATACCTTTCATGCCTTATGAGTGTCTTGGCCACCTCGCCTACTTCCCATTCAATGGCGACATCTAGGCAAGTCATGTTTCTATTATTTCTGGCCGTTACGTCAGCTCCCTTGTCCAGCAAGAACTTGAGAACATCAAGACGATTGTGCCTGCACGCTACGTGAAGTGGCGTGTTATCACCCGTGTCTTTCTGTTCCAGTGTACTCTGTAAAAGACAACCAAGCAGAACTTCCACGGTTTTTAGTGAACCAGCCTTAACTGCCAAATGGAGGGCTGTACAACCGTTTGCATCCGCATTTGTCACGTCAGAGCCCTTGGAAAGTAAGAAGTCGCAGGTGTTGCTGAAATTAAAATAAGTAGAATGACATGAATAATCCAGTACGTTTGTTAAGAAATTACGTTTCCGTGAACCCGTTTTCTTTCTTTTAATAAGCTAAGCGAAAGCAGTAGGAATTTGTAAGAGATTCGTTAACAATTATTTGTTAAACACCATTTGGCGGTCAGTTAAAAGCTTTATTAGGTGTTTCTGTCACCCAACTTAATCTCTCCTTATGCGTACCCTCAAAAGTCCGAGATTGAAGTGGAAGCCAGAACCCATCAAACTACAACCATAGTAATCATATCTATAACAAACTTCCCGATGGTGATTGATTCTCCGCGCGCCTGTTTGACGCGTAATCAGCGCGCGATCACGTGAGTATCCAATTACAGGTATCCAATTTGAACTTTTTGTAATTGGATACCCACGTGATTCACACGCCGATTACACGCGCTTTAACGGCTTCCTTCGAGGTGTTTCCTACAGTTCTCAAAACTTATGAAAAGCGCTACAGACACTTTCGCTCAAAAGAAGTTCTCAAAAGACCTTTTAAATTCCGAAATCTGTAAAAGATACGTACGATCAATTAGTAATTGGACCTCATGTCGCACAATTCAGGGAGGAATCGCGCTCGTAATTTCTTGAAAGTGCGGGCGCGATTTCTTCCTGAATTGTACCCCACTCGGTCCAATTACTATTACTTGAAGATGTCACCTTCCATCTAGCGGTCTTAACTACTTTGTCGTTTACATTTACATGCACAGATTGTCGGACTGACTCTGTCACATTGGTGGTGCTACTCACGCGTGTTTGTTACCGGCAGCCATATGAAGAGCCGTCATTCCATATTCATCTCGTTCGTCCAACAGAAATGAAAAGCAAGGGAACCTGGAAAGAACCTTCAAGCAATCTAACGAGCCATTGGTGGCTGCTATATGAATAGGAGTGTTCTCGTTTCCATCGCGCTCGTTTAACTCACATTTCTCCTGTAGCAGAATTTCTAAAATCTAAAGAAAAGAAATTAAAATGATTAGAAATATAAATAGTTATAATGATTATGACAACGTTGGCGCCTGATGCAACAAACTGCGAAAATATTTTTGCTGTACCTTTCCCAAAAAGGAAGTCAAAGAGAGAAGCCCTACATTGGGAAAAAGATGTTTCGTATATTCGAAAGAGAACTGAGAGAAGGACACCCTTCTTTCGGACTTTGGTTTTCGATCTGTAAAGACACAAGAACATTTCACCACTTTTTTGCACATGTTAAAAAATTGTTGGGTGACATTATTACATTGTTTGTTTACATTTCACCCCTTCATGTTTTTACAAATTATAAAGAAATATGTTGGTAGACGAATCACATTGCTCAAAAGAAAGCAAATTTATAGAGCCGTTATCAGGTACGATGGTATTTCCAGACAGGATTACAGCCTATTATTGAGCTTATTATTAGGGGATGTACTTCATGCTCCCCACTTTAAGCATGCGTCTCGTGAAGTATTCAATTTTGTAATGACGGCCTACAATTTGACGTAGCCTGAACTCTAATTGAAACAGTCTTCAAAGTAGTCTTAGTTTCGTATTCTGTAGATACGACTCATATAAAGTAAAGTTACTCTAATGTTTAAGACCAGAATTGTGTGAATACAGTATTGATTTTACATAACTTTTTTTCCAAATATTGTGTCCTAACTTACTAGAAAACTGCATGCTATAAATTTTATCTAACACTGATTTTAGTTTGAAAATCAACATATTTTGTAATGACAGAAATGCTAGCTAATGCTGAAACCAATATGACGTCGGAAAGAAAATACCGTTGAATCCTCCAGTCCAGCTGCCAAGTGTAGCACGGTGCTCAAGTTTTTGTCTTTCAATGATAACAGTTCATCTTTGCCTCTTTCTAGTAACATTTTCACCATTTCTGCCCTGCGGTACGAAATGGCCAAATGAAGAGAACTATTCAGTGAAGAGTCAGTTGCTGTTATCTCTACTCCGTGGTCCAATAAAACCTTCGCACTTTGGCTTCTTCCCAGAGTCACTGCCATCAGGAATGGCGTCATGGCTAACATGTCTTTGGCTTCCGGATCAGCTCCATTCTCCAAAAGAAGCTGGACTATTCGGCTGTGATTGAGTGCTGCAGCACTGGAGAAGGTATCGATCACAATCATTTATCAATTCAAAACACTATCAAACAAGGGGGTGTTTGAAAGCGATTGATAGCGCCTCTTTAAAAATGTCCACTGAAAAGCGGATGGTTTTTTTCTGTGCAGCAGACAAAATATCAATTTAATCAATCTTTCCGGCGCACGTACCCCATTTAAAAGTGTGCAAACAAGAAATTATAAATACATTCTGCCCAACCACTGTTATTCCCACGTTGTTTTTCGGGAGCAGTTTTGCCGAAATTGTTTTGTAAAAGGATAAGCGTACGCTGACACCTGCGGCTCTGTGTCGACCAAAAATGCGACAAATTGCCGTGTTAGTTTCCCTCTAATCCCTGATTCGAAACCCGCGTCTGAGAATAAGATGGCATTATTTCCATGACGTTTAAAAGGAGTAACTCTGTCAATACTCAGTGAAACAAATTGAAAACCAAAATCAAGCAAAACAAAAATTATATTGGGACTACATTTACTCAGTTGGATCATCGAACATCCAAGCCTATAAAACTGGATAACAAACAGGAATTCTTTACCCACCTATGCAATGGCGTCCTTAGGCTCCCATCCCTGCTGTCAATGACAGCTCCATACAGGACAAGAAGTTCGACCAACGTCAAGTGACCGTGCTTAGCTGCTAAATGAAGTGGCGATTTACATGCCACCCAGTCAATGGCTTCCATGTCCGCGCCGTGCCGTAACAGCAAGTCGACAACTCCTTCGTGACCGCCCATGCAAGCTACTTGAAGAGGTGTTGAACCTTCCCTGTCTCGTCCGTTGACAAAGTCGCTTAAAGAAGTTAACCGTTTGGAAGCTTATGGGAAGAAAATAGCAATCATATTTACTAGATTTATTTATGAATCAGCTTTTCATTCGAGATTTGGCCAGTCAATACATGTGTATAAGTCACTTATTATAAGAATTATTTACCTCGATAAAAAGGCATTGTTAATAAAAGACCATAAGATGGCATATCATTTATCATATCAAGTTACGTTAGGTGACGTTTTGTACTGTTGGTGTAGGCAAGGCGGGTTATGTATCATTTTTCTTGACATACAGACAGATTCAGACAGAAAGACAACCATTTTATTTCCTTAACACGGAATTTCTCCAATGATACAAAAATACACTATTGCTGCTAAGATTAAAAATATCACAAAAAAACTAATTGACTCCTTGAGTCAGAAAGATACTTGTTGAAAAAAATTCCAGAATCAATTAGCACCAATCCCTCAGCCCTACTAAATACAGCTAGAGTGGATTTCAATTGAGTGTCTTAAAGCCAAAACCAAAGTAATCGATCTGGCCTGTGAGCCAATCGAAACTCAAATTAATAACATGTCGCTGACGCAAAGCGCGGGAAAACGAGTGCGAGTGCAATCACAATTGATTTTGGTTTTACTTCAATCTGACTGGATGAAAATGTACGTAGCGAGAATTTTTTAAGCCAATCATACAGCGTAGTTGAATCAAACCCAGTTAATTTTTGGCAATCAAATGAAAACTGCTCTATATAATAATTTTAAAAGAATTACCTGTTTCGATCAGAAGTTGACATGTTTCTTCATGACCTTTCCAGGCTGCTGTTTGAAGAGGAGTAATGCCAGTTGTCGACTTGAGAGTTATGTCGGCACCACTTTTAAGAAACAACTCACACACCTCTCTACTTCCGTTCAAACAGGCCATGTGGAACGGCGAAAAATGTCCTTGGTATAAAGAATTCACCTGGACTCTGGAATCTTTTAGCAGAAGACTGCATATCTCCGTATGTCCCCTCCGTGCAGCTAAGTGAAGTGGTGTACAGTGGTTATCATTTTGGACCAATGGATTGGCTCCCCTTTGAAGCAGAAGTTTAACAATCTCAACTCTTTCAAACCTGTAAAAATATTGTAATCACACAAAAATTATATTATGTTCGTTATTATCCAGCTTTTCATGAACTGGCAACGTCATGTATGATGCAGTGACTTTTACAATCATTTTTCGTGACCCTGAATGGAACAAAAGGATCTATATTCAAAAAGTGTTGTGATTAGCGAGGTGGTCCTTTTAACCATGAACATACTTTACGGCTGAGTGAAGAGGTGTAAATCCACCGTTGCCCATACGGTTAATGTCTGCATCATTATCCAACAGAAAAACAACTGTGGTAACATCGTCAACCAGGACAGCTCGATGAAGGGCGGACAGTCCTTCCATATCTAAAACGTTCACGTTTTGCACGCCTGAAAAGCTGTCGTTAGCGAAGTACAGTAAGCCATTTTCGACTGCAGCTGGTTTATATGCCTGGATTTCCTTTTCAATTGGTGGCGTGGGAATTATCTTTCGCGATCGTTTGCCACTTCCTGGGTTGGAGATGAGTTCCAACGAGTCATTATCAGTCCATGGCCCAACTTTGGTCAGAGATATGTTGCTTCTCTGTGTACCTCTAGACGACAAACTGGGGCTATCTGGAGACAACAAGACTTTACTTACGGCTTGGTACTCAATGTACATCGTTCATTTTTTTTTCCGCTAACAATTTGATAGCAAAAAAAGTAATACATAATAAAAAATAAAATCCAGTACAGAATAAATACATATCCTTATTAAAATACATTAAAAGTAAGTGATTACGTAAAGTTTGGAGAAACAATTTCTTCTTCCATGCTAGTTTTAGGGCAGTCCAACAAATCGCCTATAAAATAGGGTTGATATTAAAATGCATAATTATATGTACTTTAAGTTAATACCGTATGTCAACTGAACTGTGGCAGTCCATATATAAGTCATGAAAAGTCTCTGTAGCTTCAATGTGATTCCGTAGCTAACAGTAATGCTGCTGAGCATCGTTAGTTCAATGAGATTTTTTTCCGGAAAAAAGGTGACGTCGTATCGAGACAAGTGAAAACAATCCAGGTTCAATAAAACAACTTTTTGCTGAATAACATGTGACAGCCATTATGTGTTTCGACATTTTAGTATTCTTACTCTGGGCATGGCACTGGTGGTTTGAAAATAAATTTTGATGTAATATTATTTCTAATTCATAGTTAGATACACTCTTTTTATAGATAACAAGGCTGCTTGTAGTGTGCAGTTATAGACGTTGACCTTCACAAAACTCTTCATTGTCATCGGTTGTCAGAGCTGGAGAAGCAACAACACTAAGGCATGTTGGGATAATGGAACGTCCGCCATCTTTCCTTAATGCCAATCAATGATACTGTCTACTGTGTAATATACTCATTTTATTTACACTGACATTGCAAATTTTTCAGCACGATGGCCGATAAATCGCACGTGGCAATTGACGTTGCTTGACTAACGTTAAAGGAGCTACGTCACAGTTTGGCTGGCTGGCTGACTGACTGACTGACTGGCTGGCTGACTGGCAGGCTGGGTAGCTGGCTGGCTGGCTGGCTGACTGGCTGACTGACTGACTGACTGACTGACTGACTGACTGACTGACTGACTGGCTGGCTGACTGACTGACTGACTGACTGACTGATTGAAAAGCTCTATTCAAGTGTCTAGGTATTCAGCGTGGGAAACCAGTAAAACTAGAACATTACCTCAACAAAGGGCCTCAGCCTTGCCTTTTCTTCATTTTTATTCAAGTTTTTTTCCGCTGACAGCGCATAAGCTGACGTTTTGTAATCATGACCGTGAATACATTAGCATCGCGTTAAGTTATTTGAGCAATCAATATCGACGCCACGAAAGAGATTTTGTCTCAAATCAATTTATATTACTTCTCAAACATCGGTGTACATTTTGCCAATGAAGAGGCCCAGGTTAATAAAATTCGTTACATAGCTGCAGAGCCGAACACTACAAACAACCCTTCAGAATCGTAAAAGGTCGGTTTATCCGTGACGTAGAAGTTAGATGCCTTACAAATACAAATCGTCAACGACATGCTCAAGCTTCACGAAGGGAATTTTCTGCGTCTTAAAATTGTAAGGACTCTAGTCATTTATAACCTCTTATAACACGAGCGTTGTGAAACACTGCCATTTAGAAACCGAGCCCTTTACGGGTTTTCAAATTCGCCGTTATGTTGTTAATATGTAGACGGTGTTAACCTATATGTTTACAATAAAGCGCGTTTATTTAATATGAAAGCGTTCTCAATTAGTGGACCAGTAATTATAAAGAGAAAACAAGAACAAGCCTTCAAACCTTTTCCATCGTTGACACCACTGGAGCGATACAAAGACATTAGGTTGCTCATTGCGACGGCAATCAAGAAGAAGTCAACGTTCACTTCATTGCAAATGATCCCTGCTTTAACGGTCGGCTTTTGGCGTGACAAGAGCTATATTATAATTTTAATCACCATAGTGATGATGCAAATAATGTGAGGTCAGAATTAGTCGCGCAACGATTGCTCTAGAATAAGACACAAAATGAGGAAGCCAGACTTGATAAGCCAGTCTCACTGCATTTTAACCGCTACGCAGTTCTAGAAATCACGCATTTACGTAAGCGTTTTACATTTACAGTAGTGTAGTAGGTGGTAATAATATTAACATTGATGAATTGTTATCACTGCTGTAAGCAGGTGAATCAACATGAGCAATATTATACTAATTTCGATCTTTATTGAAATTCTAACTTCCTACGAGGCTCACGGGAACAAATATAAAGAAATGATATATTAATCCTTCTTACGTAATGTTTTGATTTGTTTCATTTTACCCTTCTATTCGAAGGGTGGTAAATGGTTAATGCGAGACTTTGCGAGACGGCGAGACCAGAGCTTTTCTTTGCGAGCCCGAGACATATTGACCTTTTAGATTGCGAGACCGAGACTTCAAAGTATTTTGAGTGCGAGTGCGAGGGGCTCAGACTCTTAAAATTCGAGCCCCAGATTTAGCTGAGAGCTATAAGAATGAGCGAGAATGAGCTTGTACAGAAGTCTTACAAAGGAGCCTTTTGTCGTAAATA